TAGTGACCCTACAGGAGAGAGTAGAACTGTCCCCATAGGATTTCCAAGGCTGTAATCTTTAGGGAAGCAGACTGCCACATCTTTCTCCCGCAGAGCGGCTGGTGGGTTATACCATTGACCTTTTGGCTAGCAGCCAAGTGCTTTAACCACTGTGCCACCAGGGCTCCTTACACCTGCCCAGTACTCCTCAAAATTGTCAAAGTCATCAGAAACAAAGAAAGTCCAAGAAATGGTCACAGCCAAGGGGAGCCTAAGGAGACATGACTAAATGTAACGTGGTGTCCTGGATGGGATCTTGGACCAGAAAAGGGGCAGTAAGTGTAAAACTAAGCAAATCTGAATAAACTACGAGCTTTAGTTAATAACAATATATCAATATGGGTTCATTAACTGTAACAAATGTACCATATTAATGTAAGATGAGGAAACTGGGTGTGGGATATATGGAGACTCTGTATTCTTACCAATTTTTCTGTAAACTTAAAGCTGTTCTACAATTAAACGTTTATTAAAGTATCAATGAAGCCATTACTTAGATTGACTAAATTGTTGAAAAGAGTCCCTCTTGAAGTAGTGTCTGTATCTGTGTGTACGTATATGTGTGTGTATACAAATATACACACACATATATTTGTATGTGTGTGTGTGTTATTCAAAGACAAAGCATTTAAACATTCCATAAATGCTTAAATTTTTTATGAGACATAACTGGGCCATCTGTAACAGCTGAAGGCTATTTTCCCTGTATGCGTAACTTAAGTTGAACCTTGCCCAGCAGTTCATGGGGCTGACCGCAAGACAGCAGTGAGTTTCTGAATTAGGTTAGGAACCATCCCTTCAATTCTAACTCTCTAGAGCAACAGAAATATAATGCAAGTCACATAGGCGATTTAAATTTTTTCTAGTAGCAACATTAAAAAAAGTAAAAAGAAACAAGTGAAATTAGTTTTAATTATATATATATTTAATTTTAATATTTTAACCTAATATATCCAAAATATTATCATTTCACTAGGTAGCATAAGCCACATTTCAAGTGCTCAACAGTACTGTGTGAGCAGTTCAGCTCCAAGCCACATACATTTTAAGCAAACCACTGTATTCAGAAGAGCAGACTCCTGAATTCTTTCACTACAACCACCTTGCAAAGGGAAAAGAGAATCCCGGAACAATGTTGATGGCTTCTTCCATACATGACCACGTCTAGATGGTGTCCTTAATCCTCCAGGGCTTGGGATAACCAATCAGCTAGACTGGAATATTTCCTTCCAGAAAGGACTCGTCTTGCCCCACCACTTCCACTTTTGCTCCGGACTCCCTCCTTGATATTCTAAGTTGAAAGCCCAGCTCCAATTTCATATACAAAACTCACCTCCTTTCAAATGCAAGTGTTCATAAAGAGAAATTCACCTAACTCTAACGCAGGCACAGAAAAGAGTAAGATTTGAGGTCCAAGTTCATTAAGATTCATTTAGTACAATTAGTATCAAAAAGTCTGAGCAGCAGCTGGGTCCTGACTAACCCTACACGTTGTCAGCAGCAGTAGTATTCCTGATGGCTAATTTATCATGCACCTTCTCTGTGTAAGAATTGTGCTAGTGCTTTACATGATTGATTTCATTTGACTCTTACAATATTGTAAGGTTGTTAGTACTAGTCTCCTCCCTTCCCCCCAACACCACCACGCCCACTCCATTATACAGATGAGGAGGCAAGGCTCAGAGAGGCCAAGCAACCTGCCCAAGGATTGCACATGTAGTAGGTGGCAGACCTGGGATTCTAAACAGATCTGATGCCATGTCAGAGTCTTAGCCTTTCTTGGTACATTTCCAACTCCAGTCACAAAGTGACCACATTCACAATAGACCTTTATTCTCTCTGTGAATGGTGTGGTAACTAACTGCAAAAGAATGCTTTGGCTAAGATCCTTTAGGAAGCCTGTATGAGGTAATGAAACTTCTGTACTTGTGAGAAGTATCCTTCTCCCCGTCCCTTAGGATTTCACTTCTATCTCCAGAGGAAAAGGAACTTCACAATAAATTAATAATATTTTTAATAATTATTAATTAGTTAAGGTTTTTGCTCAGTCATTTTCCAGGCTTTACCAAAGAACAGTAATCATTAAAAAGCAACTTTCAAATACAGTGCCACGAAAGTATTAATTATCTGAGAAGAGACTCATCCACCCCGTTAGTCTAATTCCTGGAACAAACACTTTAAAAGCAAAGCCTTTGTATTGTTTAAAACATACGCCATATAATCAAATTTCTTTTTTAATATAAAGTTTAGAAATGTTCAATCTTTTCTATTCTCTTTAGAATTAACACTTTAATACATCGTACATACAAAATGGAGTGAAGCTAATTTCAATCAATCCTACCCACTCTACTTCAATTTTAAAAAGTTAACGTTTGGGGAATGAACTGCGTTGGCTAAAAAGTTTGCTCCAATTTTTAACCTTCTTAAGCCAAACAAATTATAGCTCATCTCCACTGGGTCAATTTCAGCTGAGTATCACAACCACTAATGATGTCAGGAGAGATATTATAATTACTTTTAATCAGACTGTTTTTATCATGGTTGTACACATTAATTTCTGTTAGCCCAGGGATACATGTGAAAAGCATAGCTGGATGGTTATGTTTTTAATCTTTTTCTGTTTATCAACTAGAAACAGATCATAAACAGAGCAAGCAGAAGTCATTACTAAAAGGGAAATAGCTGCATTTTTAAGAACCACAATTATTCATTTATTCAATTCAGTAAACCTTGTCCCAGTGCCAGCAATATATTCTCCTTTCAATTCTAATGTGGCTGCTGGGCTTGGGCCGTATATTTATAGCACAGCTAATGACAAGTATGGCTTTATTTTTAAAGTACTTAATTCCAAGGTTTCCTATCTTAATTCCAAGGTATTTGGTCAGAATTGTTACATTAAAATACAAAGGCAAGAAAAACTCAATTATAACAAAATGTTTTCTTGGAAACAGTTTTTACAACTTTGCAGCCAAAGATGACTATGTTTCTTTACAAAACAGCTTCCCAATACATAAGCTATTAACCCAATCAAAAATGTTTCCAGTGCTAATGCCCTTACAGTTAAAAACAGCAAAAATTCAACTGAAACTACAAGTCCTGATATTCTGAGGCTCTGGAACTCAAGTCAAAAGGAAGTACCCTCCAAAAACAGTAACAACAAAAATCAAGATGATCTTGGGCAGTGGAGAAAAGCAGAACCGAAGAGAAGCGGTGAGGTGATGTATCGTGAAGTGCTGAGGCCATCAGCCACTTTCTGCACAAAAACCTCTGAGGCAGCAGAGCTCGGTGGTGTATATGCTGCCTTGGTTCTCTCCTCTTGTTCCCTTACTTGGGCTCATAAACCTCTTTAAGACATCATCCACCTCCTCCAGAACTAACTGGGACTTCAGGAGATGAGTGGGGTGTAAGTTCAGACATTCTGGCTTCAAGCAAATATCCCTATTAACAGAAAATAGGTGGGGGGAAGAAAAACAGAGATAAAGGAAGAAATTATTTATAAACACACGCACTTGGGGGAGTTGGGGAGAGGGAAGACGAATGGCACTTACGTTGGGAAGAAAGTACTGCTGGGAGCAAGTGCTTGACTAAAAAGGTAGGAAAGTGAAGTTTCCCACGAGCTCACAGATCAGTTGTTGTGTGTCGTCAAGTCGATTCTGACTCATAGTGACCCTACGTGATAGAGTAAAACTGCCCCATAGGGTTTCCTAGGCTGTAATCTTCACAGGATCAGATCTTGAGGTCTTTTCTCCCAAGGAGCGGCTAGCAGGTTCGAACCACCAACCTTTTGGCTAGCAGCTGAGTGCTTAACCATTGCATCACCAGGTTCCTTTCATAGATAAACGAGCAGGGGCACCCCTTTTTCAACACTTTACACCCTAGAGCTAAGGTGGGGCCAAGTCTAGCAGTTTGGTGGTGGTCAATTTCCATAACAAGAGGAAGCCAAAAAAAGTAATAATCTTATCTGCAACTAACTAAACAAATTAAGTCTGTACTTAGAGAAAAATAAAACAATGTCTTACAAACAAAAATGACAAAACACCCTACTTAGAGTCATCCAGTCATTCTCTTAAACATTTCCTAAGCCTCTTCTAAGTAAATGCCTTGGAAATCAGAGTCCCCACCTTCACGCTGTTGACAATCCAGCACAGAAAGTAACATATGCTAAAAAAGGAAACAGAACAAAAACTTCTAGACAGGAGTTGTGGAATTTTAAAGGTGAGAAAAATTATCCTGTACCAAGTTTTATGTAAAACTGAGTTACAGATACTCTAAGATGCATGAGACATAAGAAATGGAGGTGGGGTGTATGAAAAATACTAATCATCATAAAAGGAGCTAACACACAAGAAAAGACTTTATGTATGTTAAACATTTAATCTTCACAACAACCCTATGAGAATGGTACGATTACTCTTCCTATTTTTCCAAGAAGAAAACTTGAGAAAGGTTAAGAAACTTGCCTAAATCACACGTCTAAGTGGCAGAGGGGACTGGAACCCAGAAACCCTGCCTCTTAACTCTATTCTGCCGTATTTAATAATAACACTATTGTTGTTATTATTAACACAACAATGTTAGTGTATATTGCAGAGCAATGATCTAGGTACTATCATTCATTCTCTTTGAATACTCACATCTCTATTCTACAAATGAAAAAATTAAGATTCAGAGAAACGTTCCCAAGATTATACAAGTTACAATGCGGATGGGTCGGGATTCGATTCGAGCCTAAGTAGCTCAGATTCTGAAGGCTCTTTCGCTGCCCGCCACGACCCACCTTGAACTTTTTCTTTGCCATTAACCAGGTCAAGCCCCATCCCTCCCGCGTACCCCAATACCACCTAACTCCAGCCTCGCGCCTGACCCTCAGAGATACTGTACTGTTATCCAGACGGCGTTCTACAGCCCCCGCCCACCCCGCTCTCTGAGCCACCCCTGCCGGTCCGGGGCACGGTTCTCACCAGGTGGGAGTCGGGGTACCCTCGCAATCTTGTTAGTGATCTCTGCAGTAAGCACCGCGAAGTCCTGCTCATAGCCTTCGAAATCGGACGACATGGCGGCTCCGGAGTGACAGTCCGGGCCGAATCCGAGTTCCAGGCAGGAACCACGCGGAACGGGAGACGGAGGCGTAGAGACCCCTGAAAAGCCCTCAAGAGAAGCAGAGAACCGGAGACAGCTCCTAGCCCAGCCGCTTCCTGGTTGTTCGTTGCAATCTCGGTCCTCCGGAAATTCAGCCGGGTAAGCCTTTTATTTTCTGCTTAGGTTTCAGGATTAAGAAATTCGCGAAGAAAAAACGCTCTGGTTAGATTTTTTTTTTTTAAGCCTACGAAAATATGAGGGTTCTCAGGAATCACGGAAATCATTTTATCCCATTCTGAGAAGCGGTTCCGGCCCCCCAAGCTACAGGTCACAAGAGCTTGCTTCCCGAGGGAAGTTTGATATGGCGAACCTCCCGGAAGTGACTGTGACCAAGGCTGCGCGCAGGGCCTGAGTGGCAGAGTCCCCGCGAGGGCGCTGGCCGAGGGACTTACAGGATGTAGCTGGTCCCGCACATCAGCTTCTAGCAACCAGGATTTGCTTTCCGCTTGCCCGGGATTGAGGAACCCACGACGGAGTTATCCGAAGCGGAGAAAATTTGTTCCGGGTGAGCCAACGCCACCGCGGAAACGTGATGGCTGAGGAGCGGGCACCAGGGACGAGACTGAGGTGGGAGTCAAGGCAGGGGATGTAACCAAGATTTGGGCGGTCTTGGCCCCACCCGGGTGAGGTCAAGAATCTCCAGAATGTTGAGATAAACCTCATTTACCACGATGTTCCTTCCCTGCGTGAGACTTTCTAAAGTCTCCGCTCCATGACACGGGCGGGAAATTGAGGCACAAGGAAGAGGCATCTGTTGTGTGGGAATCTCTCTTGTCCCATCTATACCCCAGATCTTCCTCCAGTTCACTTCTGTCCAGTCAGAAATACCCTTTCACAAATCTTCCCTGCTCTTGCCGCTTGCCTTCCCCCTCCCTCGCTCCTGAAGGCACTTCTTTCTTTTTCTTTCTCATTCATGCTCATTCTCATATACTCGCTCAGCCATTCATGATTTTACACACCTCTTCTGGCCCTTCCCCACCTCCCCACTCTCCCCTTTCCTTTTGGCCCCCAATGGCCCCTTATGTTTTGGGGGTAACACCTAGCAAATGGCGTAGACCACGAACGGTTGTCTGGCTCATACTAGACTTAATTGCAACATACTGTGAGAGGCAGCTAGAATACTGGAAAGGGAGTTCGACGACTTGAGTTCTATTCTGGGTTTGGCTGCTTACTTACTTGTGACTTTGGTCTAATCACTTGGCTCTCTAAGCCAATTTCTGTTCACTATGAAGAAGGGAGCTGGATTAGATCACCCTTAACACCCTCCTTCCCAGCTCTAAAATCCTGTCTCCTCTAACCGTTCACTGTATGTTGGAAAGACTGTCACAGTCCCCAGACGACATGGAAATAAAGGAATAAAAACAACTATTTTAGGATCATGTGCATTACATACATCAATTTACAGTTTGGACTTGAATGCTATTTTGGACAACACGAAAGTAGTTCTTTTTGACATCTGCCAGGATACTCATACCATAATAGTGCACTCGTGAGGTGCTTTTGTACAGGTAATTATTGGAGTTAATAAATTAACAGATATTTTTTTACTGAACTTTCCCATTTTGTTTTCTTTAGATTGAGTTTCAAAGCAAGCCACTGGTTTCTCCTGGTTAAGATAAAGAGCTCTAAGTGTTTAACAGTGAGAATGGCATAAACCGCATTCACATCCCACAACGTGAAGGCATGACAGTTAAGGAAGACACATGGACTTGTGGCACATGGAAATGTGTGCACAGAAAAAGGAAATCTATCAGTCTTTAAAAATAGGAAGGAATCCTTCCACACCAAAATGGGTACATACTGCTCGGTTATCAAGTTTGAAAATCTCCAAGAATTAAAGAGACTGTGTCACTGGGGTCCCATCATAGCCCTTGGTGTTATAGCAATATGTTCTACAGTGGCCATGATTGACTCTGTATTGTGGTATTGGCCCTTACATACAACTGGAGGAAGTGTGAATTTCATCATGTTGATAAATTGGACAATCATGATTCTTTATAATTACTTCAATGCCATGTTTGTGGGGCCTGGCTTTGTCCCACTGGGGTGGAAACCGGTAAGAAAAATACTCTTTAAGATAACGAATTATAATGATAACCATATATTTAGTTGTTGCCTTATATGCTAACCAATAATATGAATAGCCTGGACTAAGAATATTAGTCTGGTCACTGATCATTTAAGCTCAGAGAATTTATTTCATACCTCTTTGAAAATATTAAAGGAGCCCTGGTGGTGCAGTAGTTAAATGCTGGGCTGCTAACTGAAAGGTCAGTGGTTGGAACCCACCAGCTGCTCCACAGTGGCAGTCTGCTTCCAGAAAGATTACAGCCTTGGAAACCCTCTGGGTCAGTTCTACTGTATCCTGTAGAGTCGCTATAAGTTGGAATCGACTGGATGGCAACAGGTTTTGGTTTTTTGAAAGTATTAATCTAAATTAGCATTTCCCCAAGCAATTTCATTGAATACTTGTCCTGCTTTTTTTTTTTTTTTTTTTAAATGGAGGAGGAGTTGTTTGTTGTTGTTGTTAGGTGCCATCAAGTTGGTCGTGACTCATAACAACCTTATAGGACAGAGTAGAACTGCCCGATAAGGTTTCCAGGGAGCAGCTGGTGCATTCAAACTGCCAGCCTTTTGGTTAGCAGCCGTAGCTCTTAACCACTGCGCCATCAGGGCTCCAGAAGGGAAGTAGTCCATGGTCATATAAGCTTAGGAAACTTTGTGTATCATACACCTCTTTTATAATTTTACAGTGCATTTTGACTCTAGAATCTTTTTTCATGTAATACATTAATTCCCTCAGGACTGAGAAATACACTTTAGAAACTGCTGGTTTAAATCATTATAAGATTTTTAAATCATTGCAGTGAAATCAGAACCTTGAGAAGTATACTATGAATCATTTTTTGGCCTCTTAAAAATTGTTACAGAGTTTATGCTTGTAAATTTCCACATTCTTTGCTGAGGAGCATCAGTTAGTAGCATGTTAGAAATGCAGAACCTTGTGCTCCACTCTGGACCCACTGAATGAGAATCTGTATTTTAACAAAATCCCCAGCTGATTCTTAGGTACATTAAAGTTTGAAAAACACTGGCGTATATTGTGTGCCAAAAGAAAGACCTGGCAATCTACTTATGAAAAATCAGCCATTGAAAACCCTATGGAGCATAGTTCTACTCTGAAACATGAGGTCGCTGTGGGTTGGAATTGGCTTGAAGGCAATTGGTTTTGGTGGTTTATACTATGTGCACTGTACTCTTCAGAGTGGGTACAGAGATGGGTAAGATACAATTCATACTGAAAAAGCTAATAATCTAGAAGAAAAGCCAAGGCGCTTGTGCAAATAACTGAACTATAGGTGGAATGTGATGAGTGCCTTTAAAGTTAGAAGGAACTGATAGTTCAGCTGGGAACCTAAGAGGAGAGTGGGAATTTCCACAGGAGATAGGGAAGAGGGTGGTGGGAGGAGGACATATTCAGAAACAGGGGACAGCCTAGATTATGTAGTGTTGATGTGGCAGAAATGAATCCATCATGGAAGGCTTCAAATGCATGAGAAATTGCTATACCAAAGATAGTTACTGGAGGTTTTTGAGCAGCGCTCTGATGTAATCAGAGTCCTGTTAACTAATGTTATTCTGACAATAGATGGTTTGGATTAGAAACCACAGTAAAAAAAAAAAAAAAAAAAAACTAGTTAGGAAGTGATTAAAATGGTCCAAGAGAGGGGAGGTAACAGTGGTAAAGTTAAAGAAGGGGCAGATTTCAGAAAAGGTAACAACTCTGATGCTCTAATCCCCACTCTAAAATACCTATCAAGTTGTCAGCTAGCTTTTTTCTGAATTCCTCCCATTCTACTAAGATTTGGAGTAAGTAGAAACAACTATACTCAGTGTTACTGGAAAGTATTCATGAGAGCTAACTTGCTATTACCTGGGATCAGATATCTGATGTATTTTTGTTTATATTTTGCTGCCAAGGAAAATTCTCAGGATAGTATGTATCTCCAGTATTGCAAAGTCTGCCAAGCGTACAAGGCACCTCGTTCGCATCACTGCAGAAAGTGCAACAGGTACCTGTCCGTGTGCTTTTCTTTGGGGATTAATCAACTTGAGCACTGGTCTTTTTCTGTTCTTTGTGCTATATCAATCTTAGTTTTATTCTCTGCATGTAGCAAATCAACAAGGTGGTAACCTTTTAAAAAAATGTGGTCAAAATACTTAAGTGTCCATAATCTCCACGTTGCACTTAAATTAAATTATCAATCCGAATAATTTTTAAAAACCATCTTTTTGTTATTGTAAGTGAAATTTTTTTTTTTTTTTAGAAAAGTACAGATTTACTTTACCTCTTGCCCTGAAGAGCAGGAGAAGAAGTTACATCTTCAGGGTTATTCCATATATCAGAATTAGTTGTGTTTGTTGTCTGTTGTTTTGATTAACTTCAGAATTGTTCTGAGTTGAAAGCATAAAGGAGACCTGTTTACCAGTTATTTATTTGACAAACATTTGCACTTCATAAAAATCTAATAAAGTAATCCAGGTGCCTATTGCCACAAGTGTTTTTAATATCAAGAAACTTAATGGTAACAAACTGAATCACTATTTAAAAAAAAATGACGTAAGATAGAACCTTTATTAATGAACACCTGTATTTACTGATTAATAAGACATTTATGATGAGAATTTTGAGATTCAGGGGAATCACTGGAGGCAAATAGAACTTGGATTGAGGCAAGAAAATTATCTTCTGGCAACAATAAGGAAAAGAAACACTAAAACTTTACTTATGCCACATGTTAAATTCCTGAGTTAACTTGCTGAGCCCAGAGATTCCGCATCTAAAGCAGACTGTGAGAATAGGAAGGAAGGAAGTTACAAGCTTCTGCTTGGGCCCATCAACTGAAGTGAAGATTTATGAGAGATTTTCTGGAGTCTCTGTTGTACTCCACTTCAGTCACTGAGTTTGAGAGCCAGCAAAACCCTGAGCCACGCTCATGTCTTTATAACAAACCTCTCACTAGGCCTCCTGACTTCTTTAAACAGAGGCGCTTGTAGCAGATGTCTTTTCCATTCCTCTGTGACTCATGGACATACCGGCTTCCTATTCGCTTGATCTTTTGAAGGGGAAAGTTATTTAAAGTAGACAGGATTTTCTGCCTCATGTTTTATATAAAATTTTCTTGTTAGATGTGTGATGAAGATGGACCATCACTGTCCTTGGATCAACAACTGTTGTGGCTACCAAAATCATGCTTCGTTCACACTGTTTCTCCTTTTAGCACCACTGGGTTGTATTCATGCTGCTTTTATTTTCATTATGACTATGTACACACAGCTTTATAATCGGGTAAGTGAAAATATTTGTTACAAAATTATCCATGCCAGATTAAGTGGTAGTTACCACGATTATTTATGAAGTCCCTTTAGGAAATAGGCTTTCTATGATTTAGGTGGGGAAAGAGAACTTTGTTTTACCTCTGTATGGGTACCTTCATAAAAAACATTAAAATTCAATATTTAAGGTGAGGAAAGATTATTTTGTTCTGTAATCTCACCTGATGGAGCACAGCTCTACTCAGACACAGGGTCGCAATGAGTCAAATTGGCTCGACAGTGATGGGCTTGGAATCTCATCTTGTATACAGTAGTTGATGTTAATAAATCATTTTAGGACTGAATATATATGTGTGTGTATATATATACATATATACACACACACACAGACACGCACACGAAGCCCTGGTGTGCGAAGCCCTGGTGGCACAGTAGTTAAGAGCTCAGCTGCTAACCAAAAGGTCGGCAGTTCAAATTTACCACTTGCTCCTTGGAAACCCTATTGGGCAGTTCTACTGCCCTATAAGGTTGCTATGAGTCAGAATTGACTTGACAGCAATGAGTTTTATACACATATATGCACACACATATGTATAAAATATACATATTATTTTATAATGTATGTATACATTTGTATGTATAATTTACTAGATTTCAAACTTAGTAGCTGTGGTAAGAATAGTTAGAGCAGAAAAAGAAGATGATGATGACAACATGCCTCTTTCCATCCAACTCATGGCCAGTTGTAGTTCCGCGGTTCATTTTTAACTCCAGCACTCTGGAAGGTGGCTACCGAGCAGGTGCATGCCCTAGAATATAAACAGATTAAACCAGCAACAGATCAAGTTGACTTAAGGGCAAGTGGTCATGAGATAAGGTTCACAGGTCACAAATTCACATCCCTAAAGAAGCCTAGAAGATAAATAAGGGACACAGGCAGAATGGAACTCTGACAAACTAGGCTGCACACATCCTTCTTAGAGGTGACACCTTCAGCCATTTTTTGATCTTTGGTGTTCTTCAAGGAAATGCATTAGCCTAGTGAGGCTAGATCTTCTAATTTTTCAAGGAAAATCTGGGTTTTTATGTAAAATCTCCTGATTTTTAAATGTTGGCACCAACTCCGAGTATTTTAAAACATTGCTCAGCCCAGACAATACACATCTAGAATCCATACTTGGCCTTCATTTTGCCACTTCTTAACCTCTGGTTTTGTAACATGAGGGAAGAATCAACTGAATCCTAGGCTGTACTTGTTGCTATGAAGGAATAGTATAAATGTAGAAAAGCAAGGAGAAGATGGGAGACACAGCTACAGTTTAGATCGGTGTCTAGTGTTGTTCATGCATATTGATATTCATGGGGCCTGCCTGACACTTTGTGAGAAAACAACAAACAGCAAAGTAATGCCTGAGAATAACCAAGAATGCTATGCGCATCAGTGTAAGCACAAGCCACAGTATTAACTAGAAACAGCTGCGTTTGCTTTACTTCTTTGGCCACGGTGTCAAGTGGTCATCATCTTTTTGATCAAGTCTGTTTTAAGGGTTACAGCAGAGTCTGACCATCTGCCACAGCAAGTATCTCAGTTGTGTTGTTGTTGTTTGTAGCTCTCTTTCGGGTGGAACACGGTGAGGATTGACATGAGTGCAGCCCGGAGAGATCCGCTCCCAATTGTTCCCTTTGGATTAGCTGCATTTGCTGCCACCTTGTTTGCCTTGGGATTAGCTATAGGAACAACTATAGCTGTTGGGATGTTGTTTTTTATCCAGGTAAGTTTCTCCCTTACCTCTAGCTAAAAGCTGTCACGTTATTGGGGCTGATTTGTAATGAGGAAGAGACAAAGGCTGCATTTAAGCATGCAGTATGAAATGGAAATTATGTTTGCTTATTTCATCTGCAGGATTAATTTAATCTTCTCTGTACTAGTCAGATAATTGAAGTAATTTTGCCAGAGTTTACAGTTAATTGATTTAACTTTAAGATGTTAATTTAGAGTTATATAGTGCTTCATAGTTGATAATGCTCTTCTCACATTTACAATTTCTCTTGATCTTCACATCAACCCCAAAAGAGGTTGGTAGAGGCATACATTGTTTTCCTTTCCTACATATGAGTAATTAATTCTCAGAAAGATTAAGTGACTTACCCAAGGTGACGTATTCATGTATTCAGTAAATTATACACTTGATAGTAATTAAAATAATACGTTGTTGTTACGTGCCCTTGAGTCGGTTCCAACTCATAGCGATCCTGTGTACAACAGAAGGAAACACTGCTCCGTCCTGCACCATCCTCCCTATGGTTACTATGTTTGAGCCCATTGTTGCAGCCACTGTGTCAGTCCATCTCATTGAGGGTCTTCCTGTTTTTCGATCACCTTCTTTACCAAGCATGATGTCCTTCTCCAGGGACCAGTCCCTCCTGATAACATGTCCCAAGTATGTGAGACGAGTCTCGCCATCCTTGCTGCTCAGCAGCATTCTGGCTAACGTTTATTGAGTACTTATGTGCAAGGCACTGCTCTAGGCACTTGGCAGGTATTAGCTCTTTTAATCTCCGTAATAACCCTACCATATAGGTGCTATTTAATGCCTACTCTGGGATGAATTACTCTGCTGTTTCCTGAGGCTACAATAATGAAAATGAAGAGGTTCTTACCCTTAGGGAACTCATAATTAGTAGGAAACTTAACTAATATAGGGTAACCAAACCCAGAGCTGTCCAGCCAAATTCTGACTCAGAGTGACCCTCTAGGACAGGATAGAACTGGCCTATAAGGTTTCCAAGCCTGTAAATCTTTACGGAAGCAGACTGCGACATCTTTCTCCTGTGGAGCTGCTGGTGGGTTCTAACCCCGCCAACTTTTGGTTAGCAGTCAAGCGCTTAACTACTGCGCCACCAGGGCTCCTCTCCCGTGTTGTTACCCCATTGCTGTGGAGTTGGTTCCAACTCATAGCAACTCTATACGCCTGAGTAGAACTTCCCCATAGGGTTTCCAAGACTGTATGTCTTTACGGCAACAGACTGCCACGCCTTTTCTCCTGCTGAGCAGCTGATGGGTTCAAACCCCCTACATTTTGCTTAGCAGCTGAGTGCTTAACCACTGTACCACCAGGGCTCCTTTGTAGTATATTACAGAGATGTTTGTAAAGTGCTATGGGAACATAGAGGAGAAGGATATGACTCTGAAAGGACCAAAAAACACTTCTTTTGACTCATTCTTTCACTCAGTTAATGTATTCATTCATTGAAGGCCTGCTGTATGCCGTACATTGTGCTAGGCCCTTAGAATAGAATGAGGACTCCTAGTCCAGGGTTGTTTTTACTGTACCACACCTTCTCTCAAGGTACAGTCAGACTTCAAGGAAATGCAAAACTCTCAGGAATGCTGGGCTTCAGGGCCCTGATGCTTCACCCAACACTTTTTTTGAACTCTTGATTTTAAAATAACCTGGTTTGGGTTAGGCTTTATATTTTCTACTAGTCTGGGAACAATTTCTTTGAAAACTTTTCCCCCGTGCCTGTAATTAGAGTCATATTAGAAATAAACTAAGATCATGTGGTATAAGAGCCTACATAAGAAGAATGACTCATAAAGTCAAATAATCAAATAAAAACTGAATACATTATACTTTTTAAGGCAAACAGGAAGTACCTAGAATATCTAGGTTGACTGTAATGAGTCACTGTTACTTGTAATAGATTACTCATAAACTTAACGTTAATTAAAGATAGTGAGAAGAGATTTCAATAGCAAAAGACACGTAACTACTAATTAGACCATATCATTGTTTTATTAGTACTCTCAAAACCTGGTTCAGAAATAATACTTGAACAATGAATTTTGATTAAAATAGTAGACTCAGATTTGATTATAGTTCATGTTATCACTTTTCTGGAGAGGCACTATAGTGCAGTGGTTAAGAACAAGTCAGGTGGGCCTGGATTTGTATCCTGGCTTCACTACATACAGAGCCCTGGTTGCATAGTGGTTAGGAGCTCAACTGCTAACCAAAAGGTCAGCAGTTCGAATACACCATCTATTCCTTGGAAGCCCTATGGGGCCATTCTACTCTGTCCTGTAAGGTCGCTGTGAATCGGAATCAACTCGACGGCAACGAGTTTTCACTACATACTAGCTATGTTACTTAGCCTCTATTGTGTCTTAATTATGGAATAGAGCAACAAAAGCTATTCATAGGGTTATTATGAAGATGATAATTTTAAATGAACTGAAGCCACATTGTTAAATTTTGCTATCATTTAATTTCCAGATGAAAACAATTCTCAGAAACAAAACTTCTATTGAATCATGGATTGAAGAGAAGGTAAATTTTAATAATTTGTTCTTCAATATTAATAAGTAGTGGTTAATTAATAGACCAGATTATCGAATAAATACTCCAAAGTGAAAACTTGGCCACCGAATTACTTCCCTAAGTTGCTTGCATGCCACATGTTGCTTCATTCCCAGGTGAATATAACTGCTGCAGAAACATACTTCTCACATAACCCAAGTTGCTGAAGAGGTCTAAGCCATATATTAAACCGTCTCGCATTCTCTCAGCCCAGAGGAGAAGGAGGCCCATTGGAAAAGGAACTTCCATCCTACTAAGCTACCATAAGTTTTTCTTAGTATTTTAGACATCAGATAAGGCTTATAACATTTAGCCTGTCGCAGACCTCACAGCCTCCACACTTGATACCGAGTAATACCACAACTGTTCATAGTTTATACATCTTATGCTTTTGTATCTTTGTACATGTTGTTCCCTCTGCCTAGAAGACTCTTCTTTCTCTTTTTGCCTGATTCCTTGTCCCTCAAGACTTAGTGTAGGTGTCATTTCCTCCAAGGAACTTCCCTTGACCCTCCCTAGACTAGCTTAAGTACTTCTGTTCCCTTTTTTCCATAGCACCCACTACACACCTCTGTCACCTCTTATCATATAGTATTAATAGAATGCCTCCAACTTCATTGCGTGCTCCTCTTAGGCAGAGGCCATGTTAAAGTCATTTTTGTAAACTGCTCTCACCCTTACCAGTTTTTCTTTGTAAATAGCCTAGATCTCTGTTCTCTGAGACTCTTACTCCATTTTGAAGACTCCGAAGCTTTTGTTTTATGAAAAGGGAAAAGAAAGTAACATTTACTGTCTGGGTGGGGATGAAGTTACAGAATTTAATGGATTCATACATGTTGCAGCTTGACAGTTCTTTTAATAAATAGTTAATATCAGTTTATAAGTAATTGCAGGAAACTTTTCCCCAAAATATTGTCCCCTGATAATAAAATATTTCAAAGTTATCATTTCTAGTTAGCATAAAATATTGACATTCAATTAACTTTTTGTTTTGCTAATGGTCAAGACTGTTTATAAAATGTCATGTGAAATCTAGAAGTTATTTTAAAATTGGCATTCCATTACTAAGAAAAAATCCAAATAAATGATCATTTTAAGTTTATAGAAATTAGACACTGAAGATTTATACAACAGATTTCAACTAGGTTTGTACATGTTTTGTAGGAATAAATAATGTATCTTTGTACCACTAGGTGTCAGTGGAACTTAGGAAATTTGAAGCCAATTTATTTCCTTAAGTTAACTAGCTAACAATTTCAATGCATAGAATATAATTTATGCAACCCGAATGTTTATGTACATGTATAGCATGAACATATAAATGCATATATAAATGAGTATGCATACTTGTGTGATGACTTAAAAAAAATGAAAGAAGATTCCCCTGAGCATACCTGCTAGCCTTTTGAAAAGTCTTTTTCATAAACCAACAAATCTCCTGTTATGCCTCTGCTGGCTGTTTCCCCATGTGTCACTGTTACCCAGCTTACCACCATTGCGTTCGAGTATACCCCATGAAACAGTTGCATCCTGGAAAATCCTTGGCTTTGTCTTAAATCTACTGATTATCAGCATCCCTTCTTTGAACCTAGACTCTTGTGCTGCTAAACAACCCGGAGCATCAAGGATGTTTTATATATGGAGTAAAGTTAACTATTTTAATAAGAGATTTTGAATGTTTATTTTCTTGATGATCACATACAAGGTTGGTGTTCTGAGTTCTTCCTACATTATGATAAAGTTGTCTATCTCTTCTTTGTACACTAACATTACAGCAAGGAAGAAGCATTTTTATGAATGATGCAAATTTGAGGAATAAGTGTTATCAATAATATGTTACTGCAAGCCATTTAAGACAAAGGCATTTGCCATCTTGTATCTCCGTTACCTACAGGCTAAAGATCGAATTCAATATTATCAACTAGATGAAGTCTTTGTTTTTCCTTATGATTTGGGAAGTAGATGGAAGAACTTTAAACAAGTATTTACGTGGTCAGGGGTTCCTGAAGGAGATGGATTGGAGTGGCCGATAAGAGAAGGTTGTCACCAGTACACCTTAACAGTGAGAATTTTTTTTAACTCGACCTTCCATTTTGTCTCCTCCGCTTCCGCGTTAACACCTAGCATGTCCAGATGACGTTCTGTAGTAAAATAAATACTAAAAAAATTTTGAAGATGACAGAATATATCCAAGTTAATAACCTAAACCGTTCCTTGTATCATATCTCTCCCTTTATTTAAACCTCTCCTTAACTCTCCATACTTGTAAGGTAAAGTCTTGATTCCTTAACTTAGTTTTATAAAATACAGCCTAAAAACTTCGTCCAGCTCACTTCCTGACAGGAATCCTCCTTTCCAATCAGACTAGTGTATGGCACTACTCAGTGTCCTATGAATGCCTTGTATATTCCCGTCACATGACTTTGCCCATCCTGTTTTCTCTACCTCAGATGACCTCTGCTCTATCTGAGGTTATGAACACCAGTTCCAATGCCACCTCTTTTATAAAGTGCAGCCTAACCACTCGACTCATCTGGATTTAACACTTATTCACATACTACTGTACAGCAGTTCGTAAAGTGTCATACTTCTATGTAATTCTTGTAGCATATCTTTAATGACAAGATTCTGGAACAGGGACCATGTGATTTCTTTATTTTCCCTACTGTATCTAATATAGTACTATTTTTATTAGTTGCTGAATAAATGAAAAAAGTGAGTTGTAATGATGACTTTTAATCAAGACTCATTGTTAACAAGTTTGCAGTTGGTCTGCTGTGTCGATAAGGGATCAGTCTGAATCCCAGGGTCTTCACCTTAGCTAATAGCCTGAAGCTGCATGAAGGCAGAGCATGCCTCCCCGATCCTGGGCCACAGTAGGTGCCTCTGAATATACACAGATGAGACATTAGAGAGTGGATATGGAGAAGAAGCCACCACTCTCACCTCTGGTCCTCAGGCAGAGGACCTCCTTCCTGTGCCAAGAAGCATGTGCCCTTTAACTTATCAACAATTTGAAATGCTGGGAAATTGGGAATTCATCTTGTCACTCTGATAGTAGGTAAGGAGAGGCTGTTTTTTTCAGTAGTGAAATAATTGACTTTATTTTTTCTTTTTTTATCTTCCAAACAGATAGAACAGCTGAAACAAAAAGCAGATAAGAGAGTCAGAAGTGTAAGTAATTCTTTTAAAATGATACTTATTTCTTTTTTCTGTTGTCGGGCTCTACATTGCTGTGTAGGTTTTTTAATTGCCTTTGAAAGAAACCAACTGTTGGCTTTTATTAAGTAATACCTTAATATACATTTGTTGAAATATGTTTACAATTCACTTCAGTTTTGTTTCCATTTAAATTGTTTGGGCTGGAGATTTAGAGGGAATTTAGTCAATTTATATTGCCAATATAGAAAAATAATTATCCTCAATACAGCTCATTAGTATGAAAACCCATCTTCCACAACTCTGTTATCCAGTACAATGTCCACTAGCCACATGTAGCTATTTAAATTTAAATTAATTAAAATCAAATAAAATTACAACTTCATTTCCTCAGTTGCATTAGCTATGTTTCAGGTGCTCAGTAGCCACTTGTGTCTAGTGGTTGCTGCATTGGATAGCGCAGATACAGAACACGTCTATCATTGCAGAAAGTTCTGTTGGGCAGCCCTGTTCTGTAATTTAGTTCTTAGCTATGGCTTGAAATGAAGGGTGAAAAGCCGTGAGACCAGGAAACGCTGTTGCCTCCTGTAAGGGAACTGGGTAGATGGGGAACTGGAAAGGAAGATGAATCATCACTGGATGCTTTGGGCCTTTAAAAATTTAATTTACAATTTAAAACTGAGATATCATAGGTACATGCTCAAATTGTTTTTCTGGTCTCTAACGACAGGTTCGCTATAAAGTCATAGAAGATTATAGTGGAGCCTGCTGTCCTTTGAATAAAGGAATCAAGACCTTCTTTACAAGCCCCTGCACTGAAGAGCCTCGAATAAGGCTAAAGAAAGGGGAGTTCATTTTAGCCACAAGAGGCTTACGGTAAGTGATATGAAGTACTGAATTTCTTCTTTAATGACAAAAGTGGCATTTAGCCTAAAAAAATTTACTTTTAATCTTTTAAATATTTCAGATACTGGTTGTATGGAGACAAACTTCTCGATGATTCCTTTATAGAAGGTATGGAAATGGATGTTTAAAGGGCAAGATGGCTACCAATAATGCCAAATTCTGCAAGAATAGCTTCTGTGGACAGGCACATGTCAAATGCTTTAGGGAACTAAACAGAAGGGCAAGTCATTAAGAAAAAAAAAAGAAGTTCCTTAGGTGTTTCTGCATAGAATTTGTATTTACCAGGCCTTCGTAATGATAGCTAACATTTGAGCTCATACTCACTATCTGGCAGGCACTTGTGTGTAAGTGCTTTACTTGTGGTATTGAAGTCCCCAGCAGCCCTCTGAGGTAGATTCTGAGGCTGAGCAACTTGCCCGAGGCCACACACTAAAAACAGGTAGAGCCAGGGCCCCAGCCAAGCAGTCTGGTCCCAGAGCCTGTGTTCTCACCCCCTGTGCTATATTACTCCCCTTTTGTATGAACATTCCTCATAAGTTATTATAAAAACTAATGGATTGAGACTTGGTCTTTTGTTTTTTTGATTTCAGTTTTAGAATTATTCCTTTTTTAAAGTAAAGATTAACCCAGGATGTTCTTTAAAAAACGCACCAGGTTAATCGTAAGTTAACCCCATATTGTAGCTTAGGCAACCTTGATCTAGAAATTTACATGTTAGAAAAAGTCAAAAAAGGACATTCACAAAAGCTACTGGAGATTATTTCCTAGAACAGTTGAAAGTGGTGTACCAAAAACCCGTTTGATGAGCACACATGTGAGGGAATACTCATGTTACCCCTGCAGTCTGTACTTAGGGATTGTCCTGAATCATATTAGCGCCTTTCCTAGATAATGGAATTTGAGAAGTATCGATTTTTTAGCATGTTAGGAGCATTTAAAAACCATATATTTTTCCCCCTCAACCTGTGCTCAGAAGAGATAGTAAAGGGAAAAAAAAAGTCTAAAATAGTATTAATTTGAAGTAATACGACTTGCCAGTCTAGTAACATCACTGTAGTACATCCAACTATTTTACCTCAATCTCATTTTCTCCTCAGGTGTTTCAAGAATGAGGGGATGGTTCCCTAGAAACTGTGTGGAAAAGTGTCCCTGTGATGCCGAAACAGATCAAGCCCCAGAGGGTGAGAAGAAAAATAGATAGCCACTGTTAAAGTAAAATAATTCTGTAAGCCCACTCCATTACTTGAAAATTGTACATATTACTAAAGAATTATGCAATGAGCCTACTCCGGTCAAGGTGTTCCTTTCCTCAAAGGTGCCCTAGTGCCATGATTTAAATATTTTTATTACCATTTTGAAATGGAGAAGCCATTCTGCATACACCTTTGAATTCCTATCCCTCCTTACCACCTCTCCCTCCCCACCAAAGGAAAGGCACTTCACCCAAGTAAGTTAATTGCATTTTCTCTAGGGTTTTTTTAATGCACTGCACACCATGGACCTCACCTGCAGATAGAGTTCCCTCTTTTCCAGGAGCGTCTGCATGTGATGCTTTTATTCTGTCTTCCCCTCAATTGATATTTCTTATATTCTAGACTATAGAATTTAATTTGTCCAATTCAATATAAGCTCAAATTTTGTTACCTGTCTTTTAATAATGAAGATTTTGTCAAATCAAATAAAGATTGATGGATGTTCTGTATAAATCATGGTTTTTACATAAAGCATTTTTCTTTTTGCTGATGAAAAAGGCTTTGTCTTAGTTCTTTGTAGAAAAACTGCTACTCTGCAACCCTGTGACAGATTGGCATCTTGAATCATGAGTGTTAAAACATACATACTCACTTCAATTTGTGAACCCCCTAGTGGCGTAACAGTTAAGCACTTGGCTACTAACCAAAAGATTGGCAGTTCGAACTCATCAGCTGCTCCACAGGGGAAAGATATGGCAGTCTGCTTCCGTAAAGATTACAGCCTAGGAAACCTTTGGGGCAGTTCTGCTCTATCTTGCGGTCACTATGAGTTGGAATCAACTTAACAGCAACAGGTATACATGGTATACTAAGGTCACAGCTTCTAAGAGGCTTTCAATCTAGTGAGTCAAGTTGCCCATGTATGCTTGAATATATCAAAAACTGAAACTTGTGGGAGTGAAATGTTAGAATCCAAACTGGTGGCCTTGGATACTTAAAGTCAGGATTATCTAAACACATGAGTAGAATTACAGAAAGAAAGCCCATTCCTCTGGACTTCAGTACACTATTCCAGGATTTATTAATTCTTTCCAAGGCAGGGGACTTGAAACTGCAGGGACTAGGACAGGAGAAGGGCACTAGGAGATTCAACAGTGAAGGAAGCATGACGACCCCATTCATGGGGAGAGGAGAGGGGTGCAAGACAAGTAAAATCGATTCAGATGGAGTAATGTATTATAAAGAAAGAAGGGACTGTCTTACGGAGGTGACACTGAAGCAAGGTGACGGGACAGGTCATGAGCCTCTGGGGGTATCTGTGTTTTAGGCACAGGGAACAACACAACAAACACTGAGACTAGGATGTGCCCAGCATGTTTGTGAAGAGCTGGAAGATAGCCAGTTGGAATGAGTAAGGGGGGAATATGAGGAAGGAAATAATAGGGGGCTAGACCGTGTAGGGACCTGTAAAGTAATTCCTACCTTCTCTTTTATTTCGGATACTCAAGGGTAGACCTTTCTTCAGCTATTCTAGGCTCAGGGTCTAGAAAGACCATCTAGGAACATTCTCTTATCTCCAGTTAGAAGCCAGAAAGGAACACTATTCAAGATTACTTAGCGTATACCGAGGATGGTATAAGAAAACATGAATTGTTCTCAGTTGGAGTATTGGCTCTGCTGGCATTTGTTTTTATTCACAGCTGTGGGATAAGAAGACATGGTCTGCTCAACTTAGTTTATGTCTTAGTCTCTTAATTCTGCTATAACAGATAAACCACAAGTGGATGGCTCTAACAAAGAGAAATTTATTTTCTCACAGTTAAGGAGGCTATATCTGAGTTCAGGGCACCAGCTCTAGGGGCAGGCTCTCTCTGTCCTCTCTGGGGGAAAATCCTTGTCTCAGCTTCTCTAGTGTTCTTGGCATTCCTTGGAGATCTCCATGTGGCATCTATCTTCCCTCATTTTGTTTGCTTCTCTGTGCCTAATGTGCTCCTTTTATATCTCAGAAGCGATTGGTTTAAGACATAACCCTACACGGATGCGGCCTCATTAACATAACAAAGAAAATTATATTCTCACATGGGATTACATCCACAAGTATAGGGGTTAGGATTTACAACACGTACTTTTGGGGGACATAATTCAGTCCTTAACAGTTTACTTCAGTAATTAGCAAACTTGGTTGCACACTAGAATCGCCTGGAGACTTAAAAAAAAAAAACAAAAAACCTGATGTCCAGGCTGTACCCCAGACCAGTTAATTCAGAATCCCTGGGGGTTGGGCCCAGGCAGCAGTGTATTTTAAACTCCCGGGTAATTCCAGGGTGCAGCCAAGTTGGAGAACCACTTATTAAATGGTTCTCATTCTCATCATGGTCCATGACGAAACAAACACTACATTGTAAGTATTTGCAATAGTTTATTTTAAAGACTTTACATTTACAAGTGGAAGCAACACATGTTAACTGGTGGTAGGGTACAGCAAGAACTGGAGTCCAGAGGGTAAAAAACCTCGATCAGTTTGTTCCTTCACAGAAGATAAGCCTGTTGTGCACGTGCCATGCTTACCCATAGATCTTTGTTCCCAGTTCAGGAAGTTTGGTCTCAGTGCTTGTTTAATTTGCTGGAAAAGTGCACTTGGCGTAAATTTGAACTTCCCATAGCTTCCAGCTCTGCAGCAAACTATAAGGAACAGATTGAGTCACCAGCTACTACTTAAAGATAACACTTTAAGAACATTTTGAAGTGTAAACATTCTTTTTGGACAAGTCATAGGCCCAGTTTTCAATACATATACTCCTCACTTACTGACTGTTTCACATTTACTACCATAGTAAAAAGTCTACCCAATTATTTTGCTCATTAATGACGTACATCTGGCATTAACAAACGCTGAGGTGCAAGGCAAGAGTAATGCTGGCTGTGATGGTTAAGGATATGTGTCACCTTGGCTGGGTCATGATTCTCAGTGGTTTGGCAGTTATGTAATGATGTGATCATCTTCCATTTTCACATAATGCCAATTTTTGCATAACAGCCTGGTCCTTGGAACCTAGCAGTGTCAATAAGTGAAGAATGGATGTACTTCAAAGTTAGAGAAATTAAGCAAATTTAGCCAATGTTCAGTATGGTCAAAATGTTCCCCTCTGTACACAGACTTTAGTGGACCCAGAAGTACATAGAAGAAACTTGTCATAGATATGATTAATCATTAAGACTCAAAATTTTAGTGGTTTTATAGAGTGGCAAGAAAACCTATGAATTATAAACAGCTTTTCAGAATTTAAAGATCTCTTAATTTGAACATTAAAAGGCTTAAATGTTGGGACCATTGGCAAGTTTACTGTAAAACAACAAGAAGTCACAGAGGGTGTCTTTGGTCCTTTAACTAGTGGTCACTTATAAACATTGCATTGGTTGGAGATTGTGAGGAAGGGACATAGAACACAAAAAGGGACCTCGAAGAGGAGGGACATGTTGATAAAAGTAGCCCTAAAACCTTAATACCAGCGAAATGTAAGATGGGAGGGACAGGATTTATTTAGTCAGTTCAGGCTGTTTCCACATTATAAGTCTCTCACTTAACATTAAAAACCCAAACAAATAAAAACACTAGATATGGTTTCATAGTGTAATAGGTAAAACAACAGATAGGAGAAAGGAAAAAAATGTAATTTCTTAATCTGTCTCCCCACAAGGCCGCAAGTAAGTGAGCAGGCAGGCTGCCTCCAAGCCCCTTCTAGCCACAAGTACCTTAGTCTACTCCTGGATACTCTCATACAGGCTATTGATTTGGACTCGGAAGTATTTGGAAAGCTCTCCCCGCTTTGGTTTCAATGTTGGTGTCAAAAGCCCATTTTCAATGGAAAATGGCTCCGGATGAAGAAAGATATTTTTGACCTGGAAGAGAAGATGAACACATACATACATTTAGTAGTGATTTGGACTCTTCTGCAGAAACCTCAGAGTGCTATGTGAGGAACTTCAATTAAAGAACATTTAACATAAAAGTGGGCTGAAGAGGTGGGAGGGTAACAATAATAGTAACACCCATCCATTTTCACCTACTTGAATTAGGGAAAGAAGTGAGTAGGGAGAAGGGAAAATGGATAATGAAGAGCACAAAGGGATATAAATACCTACAAAAGGTCACTGCCATTGTCCCATTGGTTACTGGTGGTGGTGTTGTTAGGTGGTGTTGAGTTGGTTCTGACTCATAGCGACCCTATGTATAACAGAACAAAACACTTCCCAGTCCTGAGCCATCTTCACAATCATTATGCTTGAGCCCATTGTTGCAGCCACTGTGTCAGTCCATTTCCTTGAGGGTCTTCCTCTTTTTCACTGACCCTCAGCTTTACCAGTCATGATGTCCTTCTCCAGGAACTGGTCCCTCCTGATGTCCCTCCACCTGTCCAAAGTATGTGAGACGAAGTCTCGCCATCCTTGCTTCTAAGGAGGATTCTGGCTGCACTTCTTCCAAGACAGATTCGTTTGTTCTTCTGGCAGTCCATGGTATATTCAGTATTCTTTGCCAACACCGTAATTCAAAGGCACCAATTCTTCTTTGGTCTTCCTTGTTCATTGTCGAGCTTTCGCATGCATATGAGGCTATTGAAAACACCACGGCTTGGGTCAGGTGCACCGTAGTCCTTAAAGTGACGTCTTTGCTTTTTAACCATTAAAGAGGTCTTTTACAGCAGATTTGCCCAATGCAATGCGTCATTTGATTTCTTGACTGCTGGTTCCATTGGTGCTGATTCTGGATCCAAGTAAAATGAAATCCTTGACAACTTGAATTTTTTCTTCGTTTATCACAATGTTGTTTATGGGTCCAGTTGTGAGGATTTTTGTTTTCTTTATGTTGAGGTGTAATCCATACTGAAGGCTGTGGTCCTTGATCTTCATCAGTAAGTGCTTCAAGTCCTCTTCACTTTCAGCAAGCAAGGTTGTGTCATCTGCATATCGCAGGTTGTTAATGAGTCCTCCTCCAATCCTGATGCCACGTTCTTCTTCATATAGTCCAGCTTCTCAGATTATTTGCTCAGCCTACAGATTGAGTACTTAACCCTGACACATACCTTTCCTGATTTTAAAGCACACAGTATCCTCTTGTTCTGTTTGAACGGCTGCCTCTTGGTCTATGTACAGGTTCCTCATGAACACAATTAAGTATTCTGGAATTCCCATTCTTGCAATGAATAAGTCATTGGTCTTGAAAATTCAATCATGTGATCTCTGGCATTGTTTCTATCACCAAGGCCATGTTTTCCAACTACCCGATCCCTCTTCTTTGTTTCCAACTTTCGCATTCCAATCACCAGTAATTATCAATGCATGTTGATTGCATGTTTGATCAATTTCAGACTGCACAAGTTGGTAAATATCTTCAATTTCTTCCTCTTTGGCCTTAGTGGTCGGTGCATAAATTTGAATAACAGTCGTAGTAACTGGTCTTCCTTGTAGGCGTATGGATATTATCCTATCACTGACCTTATTGTGCTTCAGGATAGGTCTTTAAATGTTCTTTATGACAATGAATGCAATGCCAAAAACCAAAACCAAACCCATTGTCGCCGAGTCGATTCCAACTCATAGCAACCCTACAGGACAGAGTAGAACTGCCCCACAGGGTTTCTAAGAAACAGCTGGTGGATTCGAACTGCTAACATTTTGGTTAGCAGCTGAGCTCTTAATGACTGCACCACCTTCAATTTGTCATTCCTGATACAGTAGACCATTGCTTGTCCGATTGAAAATGGCCAATACTAGTCCATTTCAGCTTACTAATGCCTAAGATATCAATCTTTATGTGTTCTATTTCATTTTTGGTGATTTCCAATTTTCCTAGATTCATACTTCATACATTCCATGTTCCTATTATTAATGGATATTTGCAGCTGTTTCTTCTCATTTTCAGTCATGCCACATCAGCAAATGAAGGTTCCAAAAGCTTGACTACATCCACATCATTAAGGTTGACTCTACTTTGAGCAGGCAACTCTTCCCTAGTCGTATTTAGAGTGCCTTCCAACCTGAGGGGCTTGTCTTCTGGCACTATATCAGACTATGTTCTGCTGTATTCATAAGGTTTTCACAGGCTAATTTTTTCAGAAGTAGCCTGCCAGGTCCTTCTTCCCAGTCAGTCTTAGTCTGGAAGGTCAGCTGAAACCTGTCCACAGTGAGTGACTCTGTTGGTCTTTGAAATAGCAGTAGCATAGCTTCCAGCATCACAGCAACACGCAAGCCCCCACAGTACGACAAACTGACAGATGTGTGGGGTGGTTAATGGTATAAAATCTAAAAACAGTTTTTTGGAAAGTATAGATTTAAACACCGTTATAAATGGGAACTTGAAATAAAACTTCTAGTATGATCTGAGAGACCAGGACAACATCAGTACATACTTGTTCAAAGGATTTAAGGCCACCTTCTTTCCCAGTTTTCTGCAAGTCTTCTAAAATGGCTTTCTTCACTACCTACAAATATAAAACAGAGTGAAAAAGAGCCTGAATGAAAGGTTAGGCATGACCCAACCAAAATGCCTAGAAGAGTTCATCAGGATAAAAGCTGAATATGAAAGTATGTACAAGCACATTTGAAGCCTAATACCAAACCCATTGCCTTTCAGTCGATTCCAATTCATAGTGACCCTACAGGACAGAGTAGAACTGCCCCATAGGGTTTCCAGGGCTGTAAATCTTTACTGGAGCAGACTGCCACATCTTTTTCCAGTGGAGCATTTGGCTGTGTTCAAGAACTGCTGACCGTTTTTGGTTAGCAGCCGAGAGCTTTAACTACTGCACCACCAGG